GTGTCCCCGTGCCAGTTTGCGCGAGACACCGGGCACCGCCCTCGCCCAATTCTGGGGGGGGGAGCGGTTTTGCTCCGTGTGCCAGTGCGGCGGGCACGATTCTGGCCGCGGCTTTGCTCCGTGTCCCCGTGCCAGTTTGCGCGAGACACCGGGCACCGCCTTCGCCCTATTGTGTTCGGGGCAGCTTCATGCCACGGCTTTGCTTCGTGTGTGTCCCCGTGCCGATTTGCGCGAGAAACCGGGCACCACCTTCGCCCAATTCTGGGAAACTTCTTGCCGCGGTTTTGCTCCGTGTCCCCAGGCCAGTTCCCGCGCGTCCTTCCTACATGGTGCCCTCATCCAAAAAGCCAGCCGCGGCGCTTTGTGGCGAGCGTGGTTTTGCTCCTAGCGAATAATGGGCCACGCACAGTATGCGTGACCGACTTGGCCTCTTCCAACCAGACCCACACACATCGGCAAAGGATATCGCATCAGCTGGAGTCGGGTAGAGTCGGGTAGGGTCGCTTTGCCTTTCCCGAGCTATTTGCCCGACTTTACCCGACTCAAAACCTACCCTGGACCCGACTTTTACCCGACTCTTCACCCGACTCCACAGCTCGTGTTTGTTTTTTTCCCCGAGCTGTATCGGTCGGCTGAGGAGTCGGGTTGAGTCGGTTCCTGGGTCGGTTCCTGGGTAGGCTGTACCCCCCCCTCTTAAATCCACTGTCCCCTCGTGTTACCTACCCCGGAACCTACCCTGGAACCTACCCTGGAACCAGGGTAGGAATGCCAATTTTGGCTTGTTGCTGCAGTTTCAATAGTAATCTTTTTGTTAAGTCAAATCCGCATTACAAATGTTATTTCTCACGCTTGGGAAATATGTAATGCATTTATACGAGTACGATACTTTTGCAGTGCATAAGACCAGCTGGCCGCGGGGAAATTTCGGGTGCGCGTAGCACAGCTTCTCCGCGGTGCCCTCGAAGGGGGACGTGAGCACGAGCGCGTGCGGTTTCTCTTCGCGGGGAATGTCGCTGAAGTGGCAAGATTGGGGGTATCAAATGCAAATAGAACTCAAGTCTGGGTGGGCGTCGGGAAACTTGTCGTGAACGTGATGCAGGTCTGTGAACGACAATGAAGATGCAATTCATATGTGGCCAGGAGGCATGACAAGTTTCATCTGAGCTCCTACGTGTTGCGTAATTTGTTCTCGCAGGGCGAGCTGCCGGGTTCATTTTAGTACAGAGCATCTTCTCGCAGCTGAGCATCAACACAGAGCTCCTCACTGCGGTCCTGCCAGATAATGGCAGAGCAAGTCTTGCACTTGCAAAAATCTTCCAGACCAGAGGACCTCCGAGACATGATATTTCTTGCAGTGCATAGATTCAGGGTGACGACGAAATTTGTACCCGATGAAGCTGCCGCGAGAGTGTCGGAGGAGGAGGAGGAGGGTGCTGCTGGGGGGTCGGTTTCATCGGAAGCGTCCACCTCGCGCTTTTGCTTCTTCCGACTCGGCTGCACAAGCATCGTCCCGTCAGTTGTACTGGTAGTTGTACCTCCAGGACGGTTCATCTTCGTCGAGTCGCAAGAGGAAGAGAGGGTGGACTGATTCGCGCCCATCCTGCTCTTATTTTCACTTCGCAAATTTTATGAAGCCAAAAGGTCGACGTCGTGTAACAGGGCTGCGAGGTACTACGCGTTCGAACAAAGAAGTAAGTACTCACATACTACTTCTGCCGATGATGTGGTTGTGCGTCCTCTTTTTTACTTTCTTGTTTGTTGATGAGTATGACTACAACTGAATTTCAATTTAGTACTTATCGCCGTCGGAGTCGGGAACTAGGTAGTTGTGGGCCGGTACTAAAAGGAGGAATTACGTAGACCGTCACGGCTCGTCAAGTCGGGCGCGATTCGATTCTATCAACGACGACAAAAGAGCTCTTTGTAATAAATTGCATGACAGATGATCCTTGTCTTTCAAGTATGTCCTTCACAAAGAGAATGTCCTTCCTGCGTCGCTGGGGTCACATCGTTTTGTTGGATCATTCTTTCTTGGAAAAATCGTCCTTCCCTTCCGCTGCCTCTCCTTACTCGACAAAGCGGAACTACAGCTCGTAGCGTTTTTTTAGAAGACGTTAAAACATCCTTGGGTTCTTTCCGAACCGGCAGTGCCTCCATCTGCAACTCTACTAGTACCTCTACCGTATATTCTTTCATCGGGCCAAGAAACCGGAGATCTGCTTCATCGGAGTAACTACAATCCTCTTGTGTGACGCTGCTGAATGATGTCGAGATCATCATCATACTGAAACATGGATGTAGAAGAAGCTTCTTGCTGAGCTGAAAGTAGAAGAGCATGGGCTGACGCAGCCGCGAGTTACAATTCCTGTATCAGAAAAGAAGCTCCTAGAGTACAGAAATGCTCACGATCTGCTTCTGGGCCTCCACTGTAACTGGAACCAAAACCTCCATCTACTACATGATCTTCATCTTTACATGGGATCCTGAGTTGCCATCTCCCGCCTGCACAGGCTCGTGGTTACGTTAGTAACCACAGGACCTCACAACTTCTGAAAGTTGCACGCGCTACTTTATCGACCGCAGGCCGCAACTTGCAGGCTTCTTCACAAGAACGAACGTGAGACTATCGGGGAACAGACAGGAACCACGACCACGTCCTAGAGATGCAGCACAACACACGTGAACGTGATTTTATCTATTGTCTCACCAGGTAGTACTGTGTATTCGCTGGTACTAGAGTGAACACCGTTTGAGCACCAGGAGCACGGCAATCAGTGCCTCCGCCATCAGGACTGACTCGTCGAGTGACATTTTGAGGAAAAGCTTTCAACTTCAAGTTGATATTGTAATTCCTTTTCAAGATGTGCAACAGAAGAAACACAAACATGGTCCGCGTGTCAGCGTAACTTTTACTTTCGTTCGAAACGGTTGGATTTCATACAGCTGTGTTGTAGTTGAAGATGAAGACGGGGCATTTTTCAAAGGTACTTTTTCTCTGGGTTCGTTATGAACGGAGGTAGTTCATCATCTAAAGCTACTAAAACCGAAGACGAGCCCTCCTCTTTTCTCGTCGTGGTCATACATCAGGTCAACATGCGTGTAAAAGTATTAACTGGCAGCATCACTACAATTGTAGCCGCGCACTCCTGCAGATGAACTGACGGTGTCGACGTGTGAGTCGGTTTTAGAAGCACAGCAGCAGTCTCCTCTTCTACTTGTTCCTCGCTTTCACACCACCTCCTCCTGTTCCGTCCCCCGCTGGGCCGCCCGGAGCCGCTGCCGTCTTCTGGTTAACAGAAACAAGAACACTATCTGCACCAGAACCCACTCGAACGCGACTTATCCACAGTACATTTCCCGCACACGTGGCACAAGTGCGGTTTCTGCATGACAAAATTTTCCTTGAATCCTCTTCAGCATGACAAGTTGCTTCGTCATCCAAGTTGGCGAAATTTGTGATGTACGGGAAATTTGTATTGCATACGACCACGAAGCTAACCATCACCCAGTCGCCCGCGTAGGCACTCTCGGACTTGGCAAAGACGACCGCGGTCACCGTTGCACACACGAGGAGGAGGACCAAATTCGTGACCACGACGCGGAAGGAGCACATGGCTGCGGCTACGTCGACAAGATCCTGGCTTTCTCCATTGAATTCTTATCGCGAGAAAAAATTGTCTCAGTCTCAACTTTACTTCTCATGCGGACAACTCTTTGTCAATGTCATTTGTCATGCTCGCATTACATGCAAATGAAAAGTGCCTTGCATAGGTTCTGTTTCATCTTGTCGTGTCTGACGCATCACAGGTTTTGTGTGATGTCGATGTCATGCTCTCCGCATAGTACAGTGTGTTGCTGAGTGTCGTGCAAAGAGAAATTTTTTTTGGGACGACTGCGATTTTTTTTCTTGGATACTTCTTCTTCGCTGTCTATTCTGCTCTCTCCACACCACATCCAGCTTTTCAGCACCGCGTCTTCCTCCCGTGAAATCTTTGCATTTATGAACTGCAAAAGTATCGTACTCCTATAAATGCATATACAAATTTTCTCAGCATGAGCACTGGATTTTGTCATGCTGTTTTACCTTTAAGGGCCAGACTTGTCATGCATAGTTGCAATTAGTACGAGAACGAGTACGATATACTTTTGCAATGCATAGCATTGCCGGTTTTGCAAATGGTGCACAGCATCTGGCTTCGCGGCAGGCTCACCCGGAGCATGCGACACCGCAGCGAGGCGATACGCTGGTTGTACCGGTACTCCTGCCAGCACCGGGCGTGCGTCATCGCGTTGCAGCGCGTGCAGCAGGGTAGCAGCTTGTCCCGCGGGTTCTCCCCGTCCCCCTCGAGGCACAGGAAGCAGGCCCCGCTCTCGTTGTCCGAAAGGACGTCGGCGGCGGGCTCCGTGTTCAACAGAAGCGGCTGGGTATCAATTGTAAAAGTGTCTGGAGGGTCTGGAAGAGCCGAGGCTTGTCATGCACATTTTGCATGACCCGTGAGGTCTGTGATGCTGGTCCTAGCATCGCAGATTTTTTCAGAGCTTCTTGATGCTAATTACGCATCAGAGGTGCCCTCTCCGCGTGCCAAGAACTGACTCCTCACCTCTTGTTGCTGCTCATGCAACACAGATATTTTTAGAATCCGCAGAAAGCATTACAAGTTCCACTCTTCCAGACATCCAGGGATATTTGCAATCCATACTGGGTACTCTGTTTGTTGCAGCTGCTCCCGGGCTTGTTGACCATCATGCCGCTATTTGTCGACACGTAGTTATTGGGAAAATTTTTTGTTCTTCCTCAAGAAGACCACGATATTACCGGTGGCACGGACGACGACGGTTTAATATGGAGAAAAAACGTCTTCTAACACGAACAAGATGTTGACGCGCTGCTGTTACAGAAGGTCTTTGTTGCTTTCCCTTTCCGGAAGCTGCTGCAGCTGGAGCAGGTCGTTCGTTCTGGTTCTTCTGCTAAAGGAACGGCTTCCAATTGAAGATGTTCCTTCTGGTCGTCTGCGGTCCCGATCGCGGGAAGATGAAGGCAAAGCGCTCCTGCTCCTTGTCTTCCTCTTGCTCCGAAATACCAATAGAGGCAGCTTCTTTCATTTCGTCACGGTGGCAACTTTGCAAGATGGTGCACTTCCACTTTTATTGAGAGCAGCCGAGTATAAAAATGTTGTAGTCTCAAGAGTCATCATCTGATACTCGTCTTGAAAAAAACACTAGACTTCTGAGCAAAATGGGCGATAAAAATGGATTTGAATTTAGTAAATTCAGAAAAGCAAAAATGGCACTGCTAGCTCGATCTGCGCCCTCTTTGACATCCTTCAGAAGCAAACGTCGGGGTTGCGACTTCTTACTTTGGTATAGAAAACATAGGTGGACATCAAACACGTTTACTTTATTCCTCCGGGCGGGGAATATTAGAAATAAAATTTTTTACAACTGCAGCTGGGGGTTCTCAATGGGTGGCTGGTGGTGCAGAGTATTTTTACTGATACACAAAGCAGTCAGCGGACGAAAGATTCATCAGTGCTCTCGTGTAGATGGAATTCCAGAGAGGAGGCGGAAAAAAAACAATTTGCTATTTTTTCAGCTACTCGTCAAATACAACTGCAACAACTACATCGTGGACATTGCAAAAAAAGGGCGGTCCTCGTGGACGAACGTTATAATCTTCATCCAGCGTTAACTTTTTTACTAACGGTAATACCAGGCAGACGGCCACCGAGACTTCTTCTAGAAATGTTGCAAATTACGATACAAAAGGCTTTTTTGGTGGTTCTTCTCTGGACGAGTATTTTTGTCAAGAAAACGTCGGACACGATTCACCAAGAAATGACGGCGCCAGTTTCAATTTGTCGTGCGACAGCGATTTGCTTTCATGTGTTGAACGAGGTACGTAATATCAAAAAAATCAGGGCAGCTGTACTATCGAAGATGTCGAGTGTATCTACAATAGTAAGTGCCCTCTCTTCGTAAAAGAGGACACGCAGAACACGAAGACCGCGCTCACAAGATATGCAAAGTGCAGGGGGTTCTAACTTTTATTAACGTAAAGAAATTCATGCGAAATCTCCAGTGAAAGTTACAGCAGGGGGCTGCTCTTGCAAGTAGAACCGCACAGCAGGATCTGCTGGTGCTGCAGCTTCGCAATTCATTGTTATGTTTAAGGGGGTGTCTCTTGCTGTTGTCTACCTACCTGTACCTTTGGAAACAGATGTGATGATGTTGAAGTAGCTGTTTTTACTTCTACACGAGTTCGTAGATTCTGATACTCAAAGAGCAGAGGTGGTGCCGTTATTTTGTCCTGTCGCAAGCGCAACTTGATTCCTTCTCGGCTATTTCAGTCTGTCAAGGTCAGGAGGTGCTCACAGAAGTTCTTATAGCGCTACAGCAAAAAAAACAAACCGACTTCTGGCGCGATTTATCTGTTACTTACAACGGGGAAGCTAACGGCTATTTCCATCATGTCTATCATGCGAATGCGTGTGATAAAAGAAAATCAAAATAAGAAAAAACGGAGAGAGATGCGGTGTTGTATCTTGTTTTTTATTGTTTGGCATTGGCTTCTTGGATAATTGCAGGATAATAAATTAGACTGTCATTCTCACGTCGGGGCACTATAAGGATGCTATGTATACAGACCGCGTCTTCGGTAGGAACCATAAGAACAGGGAGGTGTGGGGCAAAAACGAAAAAAAAAGGAGGTACTTACTTACCTGTAAATGAAAAAAAAAGTGCCATGGTGAAGAGCAAAATTAACATGTCGAAGTCGATATGATGGAGGTTGGCAATAATGAAAATTAAAAATTTCGGTTGTAGTTATCTTGTTGAACAAGAGCACCACATTGAGAACGCTTATTTTGCCTCAGAGAGAGTAAATGAGTAAATCTAGTACAACGACCCCGCAGAAGACAAGAAGCAACTGCAAGGGTCAAAAATTGACAACTTGCTTTTTCACACCAGCAGCATGTTGTTGCCCGCGTTCTGCATTTCCCCAGCAGCGGAAGACACCTGCTCCGGAAGATGAGGAATCTGTTGCTGCTGTTCCACCTGCTGCTCCAACTCCACGCCCGCAGCAGCTGTAGTTTTTTCTTCATCTTCCGGGCCGGCACTGCCGCCGCCCTCCGAGGACGACGAGGGTCTGGCGGGGGCAGCGGGCGCCGGTAAAAGAGAACTACCACCTTCCCCGGCGTTCTTGTAGTTCTTCTCTCCAGCAGCAGGAGCAGTCACGTCTGGCAATTCCAAGAAAGACGAAGAAGACAAGAATGTGCCGAGAATTTGGCAGTTCCAACCCTCCCACTCGGTTGAACAGTACGGCATGCACAGTGCGTAGCTCTGTATGGCGGTCTCAACTGTTACGTTCTCAACTGTGTTACACGAGTTCGTGATGCAAGCATGGGAAAACTAAAAGGGGAAAGACTGTGCCTTTTGCATCACAGATTTGGCACAGATTCTTGGGCCATTTGGCACTTCGAGAATTTGTCATGCGAAGCAGCTTGATCGCGTCGATTCTGGTGCGAATTTTGCATGACAAAATCATGTAACAGCTGAGAATGTAACATTTGAGAACGCCATATTCTGCCAGTTGCTGTTGTAACACGTCAAACCGGCACTGCAGCAGTTTGGTATCCTGTGCAAAAGTATCGTACTCGCAGTAATTGCAAATATGCATGACAAATCTTCTTCCTAGAGTAAAACAGCATTTACAAATTGTATCTTTCATGCTGAGAAAATTTGTGATGCAATTTGTACTAGTGCGATGCTTTTGCAATGCATATCTGGCTCCCAGACGCAATTGGCGTTCTGCCCGAGCTTATGCACTGCAAATGAGACGTCCTGCGGGTCGTCCACTTCTTGAAGTAGTAGAGAGCGATTTATTTCAGTCGTGCGTGTTGTAGCGGGTCACAGTCACTGTCACACAAAATTTTACTGATGTCTTGCCTGCGTCGCAAAAGACAATATGGAAAAGTTGCCCATTTCTACTACTGCCAATGGGTGCTGAGAATGGATTTCTCAGGCAGAATAGCAGGCATTGGAGGTACTACCGCGGGGCTACAATAAAAAGAACTTGTGATGCGAAGCTAGCCCTACAATACAACTAAATTCAAATTGCATGACAAGAAAATATCTCGCAAGGAGCTTCCAGACCCAGATCGTCGATATTTGCAGTGGATAGAGCTGTTGCGAACACCACGTGTTGACAGGTGTAGGGGCCGGCGTGGGCCAAGACGGCGTCGGCGAGGGCCACGACGGCGTCGGCGAGGGCCACGACGGCGTCGGCGTCGGGTAGTAAATGGTCCTGAATATTCATGTTGAAGATTTTTGAATGTAACTGTTGATCATGTAGTAATGATCCGATAATTTTTGGTTCTTGCAACAAGTGAAGATTCTGCGCAAAAAACTTCTACCCGCCCTAGTGCTGACGCGGCTGAGGGACAAAGACAAAAAGAGCGACACTCAATCGATCCGGGGAAATAATCAGCTCAACGGAACAAGTCGAGCATCGAAATCCAGGCGAGGATGGCCGAAACTAGCGAAGAAATGCCAACTATAGCCGCCGAGGCGGGGGTAGTGAGGTCGCGCGGGGTCTTTTTGACTGGACGACGCCGGGCCTTTTTGCTCTTTTCAGAGGAGAAACGCTTTCCCGCACGCCATGGCCCCACAAGGGACTCCGCCAGGGTCGGCCCTGTGGGCCCCCCCAAATCGGGCCCATAGCATGCGGGTTGGCGTGCTGCTTTTGGCGGGATTTGCGTCCTTTGGTTTTTTTTGTTGAAAAGCCGCGCCCCTGGCTGCCGCCTCCTGAATCGAAACGCTTTCCCGCATCCATGCTATGGCCCCACAAGGGACTCCGCCAGGGTCGGCCCTGTGGGCCCCCCCAAATCGGGCCGATAACATGCGGGCTGGCGTGCTGCTTTTGGCGGGATTTGCGTCCTTTGGTTTTTTTTGTTGAAAAGCCGCGCCCCTGCCGCCTCCTGAATCGAAACGCTTTCCCGCATGCTATGGCCCCCCGAGGGCCCCCGCCAGGGCCGGCCCCTTGGGCGCCCTAAATCGGGCCCATAGCATGCGGGCTAGCTGTCAGATTTTGACGGCCTTCGAGTTTTTCTATTTTTTTTTGTTGAAGAGTCGCACTTTTTGCCCTGCTCCCCGCATTACAAATGCCAGGCTTTGGTGGCCGGCTTTGCGACCTCCAAAAGTGGGCCGAAATGGGGCCCATACCATGCGGATTCGCACTTTTTTTCGTCTTGGCATTTTTCCGGCGCCCCTTTTTGGGCGCCCCAAATCGACGGAAATAGGTGCGCGGGGCGCCTCAGAAGGGCGCCCCTTTTGCCGGCTCCCCTGCGTCGTTTTATCAATCGGAAATCGATAGACTTGGCTCGTGCTTGTTTGACAGCAAGGCCCCGCCCGATTGATAAATGGAAACTTTTTATGTGCAAAAACACTTCCGCCCGATTGAAAACTGCCGGTCGTTTTGCGTAATGCATGGCAAAAAAACCGCTAGGATAGAACGTTCGTGACCTCACTACATACTACGTTCGTATTAAATAAACAGAACGGTACGCGCTGAGGCCCAGAAAAATCCATCGTAGCACCCTGATTGGGGTCAAAGCTTGCGTATATACCCGGGCGTGGTGCCCTCGTGGAACGCCTTTTTTTAGTCTATAGAAACATAGCAATTCTACTGGCCAACGCCCACCATACCACGCGGATTGCGAATTTGTGGCAGCACGGATTTCCAATCCGCTC